GCCAGAAAGAACAAATAGCAGCTGAGCAGCCACTGTCAGTTGAACCACGCCCAAAATTCTAGCAGTAGTTGATGATAGAGAAATCGAGACGCCGATGAAAAATAATCCACGTCACACGACACGTGACATCGCAGAGATACTCAACATTTTTTTTAAGCGTTTCACCCCAAGCAAGGCGGGAAGCCACTAGCACGCAAGGGGTTACAGAGAGTTGGAGTGAGACCAAATAGGAGTGATAGAGGAAAGGATGAAGAGAAGGATAGGGGATATATCAGGCCATCTGGAGAGGTCGATTGGCATTACATTTGAATAGTTGGAGATTATAGCTATCAGGGAAACAAGAAAAAGGGAGGGAGTTCCACAGGCGAGAAGCGCGAAACATCTCATATCTCATATGCGTGTTGTAAAGCATTTGAAAACACATGGGTTCTCGATACAATAACAACAAAAAATGGACCGTATTTCCATTACCTATCGTCTGCTCAAAAGTAACAAAAACGACGCATTTTCTAAATGAACGGGCATAGCCGATGAAAAATAAACTGTGCAGAACAATGGAGAATGAAAAAATTCTGGAATAAACAAAAATGTTATTTACATTATTCGGACTATTGTCCTCATCTTTGTCGCTATGTGTCCTGGACCAACGCCTTTATCCACTGTACCATGTGTCCTGGACACATGGCACAGTGGATAAAGGCGTTGGTTAGATCCAGTGACAGGACCCAAAGAGTGTGAGTTCAATACCCGGTTAAGGCAGTGGAGAACTTTTAGAGGGAAATTAGCAGGAGATAACTGATAACTGACATCCATCAAACATTGCACATGGAACTAGAACAGTCTACCCCAGTGAGCGAAATAAAGAGTTCAGTTCGAAATTCCAACCACCTGAAGAAGGCCGGAGAGTACAACGGCCGAAACGTTGTAATGAAAATGGCGACAAAGATGAGGACAATAGTCCGAATAATGTAAATAATGTACATAATACCTGAAATATAGATAAACAAAAACAGTAATGCTGTGTATTTAGGGGATTGGAAAGTTATTAGGTATTCGCATAAGATCAGACATTGGATTCAGACAAGTGCTGGTCTTAGTCACAGTCTTTTCTTGGGATTAATAATAGAGTGATTTATAATTGAATTTCCCAGAAATAATTCTGAAAATAAAAGACAAACTGGTTTAAAAATGACATTTGGAAAAACATTCTTAGTTCTTGCCGTCGCGTTTCATTTTCCGACTTTATCAAGACAAGCAATGAAAGCGAAATGCTTTGTAGCCATAGTTACAGCAAATTCAAAATTTAAAAAAGAGACGCTCATGCGTAGCCTCTTTCTGGATATTGTTAACTTCCGTTTTACTCAGAGCTTGTTTCTTTGTTATCCATGTCGACAATATAGTTAAATTTCCCAGAAATAATTCTGAAAATAAAGACAAACTGGTTTTAAAATAGCAGTTAGAAAAAAATTCTTAGTTCTTGCCGACGCATTTAGTCTTCCTACTTTATCAAGACAAGCAAAGAAAGCGAATTTTTTTGTATTTTCATCAAATCCAAAATTGAAAAAATGACACTCCCGCGTAAGCCTTTTTCTGGATATTTGTATTTATTTTCAGAATTATATCTGGGAAATAGTTGGAAGACGAAACGCGTCGGTAAGAACTAAGAATTTTTTTTCCAATTGTCATTTTTAAAACCAGTGTGGTTTATGAAAGGTGTGTAAGACAAGATGTACCTTCTCGCCAGACATATTTAACTCATACAGTGAGGCAATTCTGAGAGAATTAGAAGTCCTAACAGGATTCTTTATTGGCAGTTACAATCTTAACAACATGAGATGTGTAGACACATAATGTTGATAGCAGAAACAGAAAGGAAACTACAATATCTCCTACTGGAGTTGGCGAAGGAAAGCGAGAAGAAAGGACTCAACATCAATTGTAAAAATACAGAATGCATGATTTTTAGTACCAATTCCAAATCGGAGATACCAAAAATCTAAGCAATTAAATATCTGAGAAGTGTTTTAACAGAGAACGGAAAGTGCGTCACTGAAATCCGAAGACACTTTGAGATAGCGAAAGATGTCTTCCAAAATCTAAGCAAAGTATTAAGAAACGGGAAAAAATTAATAAAAACAAAGAAAATAATACTGAACTGTTACGTAACAACTCCTAGATGGCAGTGAAAGCTAGACAATCTCCCCAAAGATGAAAAGGAGACTTGAGGCAGCAAAAATATGGTCCTACAGGTTCTACAATCTCCCCAAACATGAAGTAGAGACTTGAAGCAACAGCAATCTGGTTTTACAGAAGAATGCTAAAAATACCATCGACCGAACATGTCAGCAACGACGGGGTTTTAGAGAAAATGGAAATAAAATGGACACTTACACTAAACATCAGAAAGAGAAAGTTGAAATTTCTGGGGTACATAACGAGGAAAGAGTGCTCGGAAAATGTAATACTCACAGCACAGATTGAAGGGACAGAAAAAGCTGCATCATCTAGGTAGCGAGCTGGAGTAAATGGATGGCGGATCAAGTTTTAGAAGAGATAACAAAAAGATAAAAATTTATTAAGAGCTACAAAGAACAGGAAATTGTGGACAGGCAAAATGGCTAACGTCCTGAAGTGAGACGGAACATAGAAGAAGATGTATTTTAAGACATTTTTATGTTTATACGTTCTTTTTATAGATGGTATTTATCAATCCACCCACAGGGATCGAATGTGGCACAAGGCCTTTTTAATGTGGGTATGTCTGAGCCCGTAGGCCCAGCCAAAAATAAAACCCATCTAAACCCGTCCAAGCGGGCTAGTTCCGTCAACCTCCCCGAACGAAACCCCACCCTTCGGCGGAGCTTCGTCCGGGTTCCTCTCTGCAAGCGGAGAGTTCGACAGACACCCGACCCGGCAGCTCACAAAGCGCAGATACTACACTTTGATCCTAGCCACCGGGCCGAGCGGGTATTCTTTTTATAGGTACAGATAGTTAAGTAAATGCTCTGTTTATAATTAACAGTATTAAACAACATTTACCGGCCTGAATGTCCGAGAAATTTTCACAGAAAATATTCGTTCTCCGAATTCTGTGAAAATTTCTCCGACATTCAGGCTGGTAAATGTTGTTTAATACTGTTTATTATAAACAGAGCATTTACTTAAATATTTGTATCTATAAAACGAACGTATAAACATAAAAATGTCTTAAAATAATTGTCGAACTTTGTCCATTTCACAAGATGTATATAACTAAAATTGCGAATTTACAGAAGTGACAGATCTCTATTACTATTGTTTTAATTTTATTGACATCAATTATTCGTTGCAATGACCTTTAACTTTGTTGGCCTAAAAAGAAATTAATATTCTGAACTGTTACATAATATCAGTCTTCCTATATGCCCGTGAATGCTGGACAATCTCCTCAAAGATGAAGAAGTGACTTGAAGCAACGGAAACGTGGTTCTACAGAAGGATGTTGAGAATACCATAGACCGAACATGTGAGCGACGACAAAGATTTAGAGAAAACGGAAACGAAATGGAAATTTATAGTTAACATAAGGAAGAGAGTTAAAATTTCTAGGGCACATAATGAGGAAAGACGGCTTGGAAAATTTGATACTCACAGGACAGATGAAATTCAAGAGGGGACAGAGGAAAACAACATATAACCTACCTAGCTACCTTGCGTAAATGGATGGCGGAACAAGGTTTAGGAGAGATAACAAAAAGATAAACATTTTTAAGAGCTACAAAGAACAGGGAATTGTGGAGAGTCATGATCTGATCGGCAACGTCTTGAGGGGACATGTCACTTGTCTCAGAGCGATTAAAGGCAGCAGTCGATTAAAAGCCAGTCCGCACGTCTTTTTCCAGACCCGGAAGAATTTAATACAGCCCTGCTCCCGCTGACCTTTTAACTTTGGATCATCACTTATTTCGAACCCTGCACAATAGAACTTCAATATCCTAGAAGACTATATTAAATGATTTGTGTTTTTTACGGTTTATCAACCCTTTTCAAGCTATTTAAAACCAGAAAAGATTTTTAGACTGTAAGATTTTTTGTTTTTGAGATAATAATAATTTTAGTGTTACAGCTTCTACTAATTAACCAATAGCTGGGAGAAGAAGAGGTGGATTCATACGTTTCCCAATGGTATTTGCGTATAGGTGAATATAACGAACCCGGCTGGGATTCGAACTCGGCTCTCCGATTAACAATTCCAAGCCAATATCCATTTACTCCATCCGCACACCCAAGCTTCTATGATAGGCCATGGATTTGATCCCACCCATCTGCTCCTGTAGAACATTGCCGCCTGTGGCAGAACAGGTCGATGCGCGTGTGACAGTCTCTGTCACACAAGTCACACATGTGAATCGTCTGTTTGTTCTTTTTTTGTGGGTCTGCTTGTCTACTTTGTTCAGTTTCTACTCTCCTGACATTAGTTGTTTAGTTAGGGTGCTTCTCCACCCAGAACGGCCAGCAGAAAGGTCCTCCTAGTGTTCACTGTTGATCTCAAGAGCTTCCATGTCCCTCCTACAGACATCCCTCAAGCGCAACTGAAGGCAACCGGTGTCTCTTTTGCCGCTTGCAAGTTCCCCGTAGAAGATGTCTTTGGGAATACGGCTATCCTCCATTACGATGAACATAACCCAGCCATCGGAGCCTGCATTGTCTGAGTAGAGTGAACATGGTTATTAGGCCGGCGGAGGACAAAACTTCAGCGTTGGGCACTTTGTCCTTCCACGATATGCCCAGGATGCGGTGGATATACCACAAGTGAAAAGTGTCCAATCTCTTCTCCGGTTTGACGTCGTCCATGTCTCGATCCCGTAGAGAAGTGTCCTTATGGCGCAGGCAATGTACACTACCATCTTTGTCTTGACAGAGAACTTGGGGTTCTCGCGTGGTGAGGCGAGCGAATGTGGTTGCAGCTTTCCCAATCCTCTTGTTTATTTCTCTGTTCAGGGTGAGGTCGTACATCCAAGCTTACAGCTCCTGGTATTCCCAAGCAGTCACCCATTGAGATACCGACCAGGCTCAACGTTGCTTAACTTCGGTGATCGTACGGGAACCAATGTTTCAACATGATCTGGCCGTAAACCGAGTAGATCTCTGATCTCTAATAGATTGATTCTTTTTTTACGGCTTGCCAACCTTTTGCAGGTTATTTAAAGCCAGAAAATATTTTTAGATTGTAACATTTTTTTAAAGATAATAATGACATAAGGATACAAGTTCTACTAATTAACCCATAGCTTGGAGGAGAAGAAGTTGTTGAAACTTGTCGATTTCCAATTCCGAGCCTTCTGTAAGTTTAGATGTCCGGGTGATGGACTAAATATACCACTGCACCACTCGTTTACAGCCCTTGGTATTTTTCAAGCGGTCACCCATACATGTACTGACCAGGATTGATGTTGTTTAACTTCTCTGATTGTAAGAGAAACCGGTGTTTGATATTCTGGAAGACTGTGAAAACGATTTAGGCCAATTCATCACCCAGAAAATTCTAAGCTATGGGAGGTTGGAATCATGAAGTTGCCTCAGAAGGTAACAAAAGTTAGTGAAACAAAATGGCGTATATGTGTTTGAATAAATCTATGAAAAAAAAAACCTAAATATTGTTGAAATTCGTTTAAAAACGTTACGAACTTTTGTTCGGGTTCAATAAATTTAGGCAGCATATAAAATGACTTATAAACACGGTTAAAAGTTACATCTTGGTTCCCACGTCAATGTTGCCATATTTAGTGGTTTATGACCCCGCCATCACTTAATTAAATTAATTACGTTAATCTTAATATGTAAAGATGTGGTATCTAAGAAATTGATATTTGGCTAAGCATCGGGGATTACCATTACTTATATATAGCCTAATCCCATAATGCTGTGAAATGAAATTCAACTTTGGGAGCAGGGAGTTTTACGGTAAATCGTATTCTGTTTTATACTTAGAATCAGGAAGAGACAGTTGAAATATCTAGGATACATAACGAGGAAAGTAGGCTTGGAGAATGTAACACTCAGAGGGAAGCAGCAAAGTGCACCGTCCTGGTGAGCCTGTGTAAACGGAGGGCAGACTGGGAAGGGTAGCGAAAAAAGAAATCTTACTAACAACGAGAAGGGAAAGGAAGTTGTGGATAGACATGATCGCTCACGTCCTGAAGGGACCCGGCATAAAGAAGAAGAAGAAGAAGAAGAAGAAGAAGAAGAAGAAGAACAACAACAACAACAACAACAACAACAACAGCAACAAATTTTAAAAGTTAAAAATCTTTAAAAAAAAATTGTCCAAATAAATAAACCCGGAACTAAATATTATTTATCAATTTTTCTGTCTTCGAAGCCAACGTCTTTTCGAAATAAGCCGCGTCTGCTCAACACGTCCCTTTCCGCTCGTAAGAGTAAACAAAATTACGTCTTATTTAGGTGTTGGTTCACATTCCACTGTGAGGCGGAGATGAATTGCTAACTGTACCAATCACTTATGAGATTCAAGATTTCTTTTCCTAAAATATAACAACGCCCATTATTTACAAATATCTATTATAAAGCTGTAAAAAAAAAACAAAAAAAAAACAAAGAAACAAAAAAAAAAATTATAAGCTTTCTCTTCACCCTGACAAAATTTGTGCGTAAATCTTAGTCTGGCATGAGATCAGAACTGTGGAGCAATCATCGTTTAGGTAGCCTCATAGATGTTCATTCAATATCGTCTGCTTGTCCTAGTTCCAACTAACCGTAGTATTTACATATGGAGGACGCAAGGTCGGGCCCTGTCGGAAGGCACATCTTTATTCAGACTTACGAATGCACAGTCCAGGGGAAGTAAATTCTTTACAAAACCTGGATGTCTACACAAACACGGGTAGCCACTAAATTTAACGCCTAACTATGAATATGCATACGAAACTGCTCTCATTTACACACCAGAGGGAACCCTCCTTGCCTCCCATCAGAATAGCTGATGCCCAACTTCCCGAGAGGCCTTCGCTGCACCTGCTTCGTCTCACGCTGTCCGCTGACCTAAGGTGGAACAAATACATTGAATCAATAGTTTCATCTACCGCAAGGAAAGTTGGTCCTCCGTGTCGTTCCAAAAAGTTCTCGCCTGGGTACACCCTTTCAAATCTATAGCTCAAACATCCGTCCTTGCAAGGAATATTGCTGTCATATATGGCCTGGTGACCCCGCCGTACGTCTCGGCCTTCGGGCTGGGTTGCGACCTTGGCATATCAGGACCTGCTAAGACAAGCCAAGACCAGAACTTGACTAAGCTTTGACCAGCTTGGGCATGTTATGACCAATCTTTGACCAGTGACCCTATGCGGAAACGCTTGGGTTTTCCCACGAAAAACGACTTTGTGTCACGTCTTGACCCCCTGGGAGTCAAGTAATCCCACGAAAAACGACCTTGTGTCACATCTTGACCTCGTGGGAGTCAAGTAAATACTGCCGTACGTCTCAAGGTCCTTGACAAAATCCAGAGACGGATATGCAATGTGATCGGTCCTGATCTGGCATCTCGTCTACAGTCATTATCTCACAGACGTGCCGTGGCTTCCCTCTGTCTCTTCTACAAGTATTTTCACGGCAACTGCTCCGAGGAGCTACTTTCGCTGGTTCCCAAACGGCGGGAATTTAAGAATGCTACTAGGTTGGCATTTCGGTCCCACCCTTTCACTGTCGAAACAGTTAAATGTAGCCGCCTCTTCTACATCCACAACTTCTTCTCCCGCACTTCCCAACAGTGGAACTCTCTTCCTCTTACTTGCTTCCGTGATAACTATGATATCCAAATATTCAAATGCAATGTCAATCGACATCTTCTGATACCTCGATCCTCATCCCCGTCCTTCTCTTTATCCTTTCCTCAAACACCTCTCTTGACTCTTGCTCACACCCTCTGTAACCCTTTGGTGCTAGAGGCACTCTCGCCTTGCTTGGTGTGAAATGCTTTAAAAAAATCCAAACAATTTTAATTCAAAAGAACTTGCAAGGTCTGTCTGATTAATTTTTTATTGTATTTTTCCAAATTTCGAATAATGTATTGAGTACTTTGCTCAAATCTGTGAATAAACTGTCCGAATATCATATTTTGTTATTGTTTTCTTTAAGTATTTTCGACAATCGTTGTGATTTGAAAGAAGTGTTAGGCTTAATTAATTTGTCTCTACAATGTGCTGGATAAATTGTCGTCTAAATTACGCAAAAATCAAAATAACACAGATATTTTAACAGATATATTTACCAAAATTACGCAAAAAATATCCCATCCTGGCTATGACGATAAACAACATCGGTGTCCTGGGTAAGACGATAAACTACATCCGACAGCAAAGCCTCTGATCAGGAGATTTTGAGGTGTGTGGAACCACCTCTTACTTGCTGGTGTTCCCAGGTTCATCCTGATCCTGTCCCAGCTATGGGCAAATAGTTAACCCCACAAAAGGGGTCAAAACACCATGAAAGTAAAAAACAGGTTTGAATAGCAGCAATACATCTTTGGAAATCAAAATATATTCCCAGCAATGAAAATCTTTTCGATATTAAATAACCCATTGAGGTTGATATGTCGTAAAACAAAACATAACAAATAAAAATATCTTGAAATACTAAAGAGTAAATTTATTCAATTCGTCATTGACTTTAACCACGGCCTACAGACGACTTGGGAATCTCCTCCAACTCTTCTGGGTAGTCTCAAAAGAGTTTTGTTGGTCACTCGCTCAAGTGCACCACACACATAATAATCAAAAAAGGAGAGTTAGGTGACCAGATGTAAGGGGGGATGTGGTCGTAGAAATTGTCTGTCAGCCATGACTGGATTCTCCTGCTGGTGTGACATGGTGCAGAGTCCTGTTGCCAGACATAAGGTCTCCCAGCAACCACCCCTAGACCCAGGACAGCACTGCCTCCTCAAGAGACTTGACGTAGGCCTCCGTGGTGAGTCTGAGGCCCTCACCAACAAATTCGGGGATTCTTTTCTGACCAGAACGATCTGAGTGAGATTTCCAAGCTGCTTTACCTTCGTAATCACCATTAGACTCATCCAACTCTTTCCGAATCCGCTGCACTTCCACAGATTGTCACCCAGACACTCTGAAATGTCGTTTTGGTGCTTCTGACGCGAATGCCATGAAGTACAGCATGCCGTTTGCAAATTTCTGGCGCAGTGAATTTTTGGAAGGAATTGTGTCAGGGTGCTTATTTCTCACAGACGGTGTCAACTAAACAGTCGACAGAATAAAAAACAGACAACGGGCATTAAAAATATAAAATGGCGACAATTTATCCATCGAAAACCTGTACATACTGGTATTCTGTTGAAAGCAGGAAGTTTGATATAGGCGACGAGGCGGTCATGTGTATCGGTTATTGGAAATGAGGACGCATAAAAAAGAAGGCAATTGTTTAATATATATATATATTTGAAGTGCATATGATACATATATGCGCTCTCTCTCTCTCTCTCTCTCTCTCTCTCTCTATATATATATATATATATATATATATATATATATATATATATATATATATATATATGGCATTACTGTAATTATTGAACAATATAGTTCATGCCACATTGACGGAAAATCTACCAGTAAAAAATAATTCTCTTATTACTATATTTGTACAAAAACGCACAACCTTAAAATTTAAAATTCAAACTCAGCGTTGCGACCGCACGTTCCAAAACAATAATACATTTCTTATAGCATTTTTTCGGATTACATCTCTATTTTCGTTGTCCTCTTATTACCGAGAAGTAAAAAACAAGAACAAAACTATTTCCATACCTGAGGATGTCTGCAGGAACTGACGAAAGCTTGTAAAAACTAAAAAAGAACTTATGAAACTGGAATTTATAAACAGGGATCATATCATTCATATACAGGTTCGGGGTTAGTGTATCTTATTGATATTGTTTGCGAAGATGTATTCTCACCATTTAAATCATTAACCTCTATATTTTTTTTTGTTATGTATGAATGATTCATGTAATATATATATATATATATATATATATATATATATATATATATATATACGACTGAGTAGTGAGTTCGATCCTCACTGGGTGCCCCTAATTTCGTCC